CAAATGTGGAACATACGTAAATCGAGTCAGCAAATGTGGAGTAAAAAAACGTACACGAAGTGTTGAGGATCCATTATCAAGCCAGCACACTGTACCATCTCCATTCCATGCCATACATCCTGTTGCTTATCTCCATTCCGTGTCTGTTTGAGAATGTACGGCCCTCCAGGTATAACCCGCGCCCTGCTGGGGGGGGGGTGTTTGAACACCCCCCTTGTGGTTTTTCGCGAATATCTCAAAACGGCGGCGCGGAGCGCCGCCGTTTTTGGTACACCTTATCATACATCAATTCTACACATGTTGTGAAAATTTCAGACCAAGGTCATTCAAGGTCAGGTCACCAGGTCACTTGAAGTGACCTCACTCATAAAACAATGTTGCAATGTCTGTCATAGCACTACACCGATGACCGATCGCTTTGAAACTTTCAGCGATTGCTAAGAGCAATAGCATGTACGAAATGTATATCTCAGAATTTTGATATCGATGACCTAAGGTCAGGTCAATTTTGCGACCTCCCCATTATAAGTCAATGGGAGAAAATTGAAATGCGCCTCTTTTGGACAAAAGACATTATAAACACTCCCAAACACCGAATTACAATTGGTTTAGACACACTGAACATGAAAATGGTGTCCGTGACCCTTGTTTATGCCCTGAGGTCATCTTAGGTCACGAATGGTTTCTAACAGTTTTTCGCAAATAACTTTTGATAGAGGCATGCTAGAGCGATGAAAACGCCTTAGATGTGTTCAGCCCGACGCTACGGATCGACTGATATGCAACATGACCCTTTCCGGTCAGGTCATGACCTTGACCTGAGGTCAAATTTTCAAGTTGACCTTTCAAGGTCAACTTGTAGTTCATTCGATGCGTCTTGACGAGAGGAACACAATGCCGGTAAAAGTAAGCTCGTAAAATGCTTGGGTCAAAAGTTATTGCAGAAAAACTTTCCGAAAACAATCGGCTATTTTTGCAGTTTTTGCCCCCTGCAGGCAAAACCGTTGACGTTAGGTCAAATCTGAGAGAATTACTCAGAAAGGGCTTTAATAGGGCTATCGAATGCGCTTTTCCGCGGCGCTGTAGCTCTATTGGTTCTCGAGTTATGCGTCGGCTTCTTGGAAATTTTCGACATTCAACCTGGAAATCGGCGAAATTTTGCCTTCAATGACCTCTGGTGACCTGACCTTTGACCTGACCAAAAAATTGACCGAAGTGATTTCGTCATTATTTTTGACGCTCTTTCGAACGCCGCCTTCCGCGTATCGCTACGTGGCCCAGGAGCCGAGTTACAAGGGGGGGGGGGTGTTCAAACACCCCCCCCAGCAGGGCGTGGAAATCCAGGACCCCCAGCCGGGCGCGGGTTAAGTGGTTGGTTGCCGACATCACAATAATCGATCTGCATTGATGAATACGTCTAATGGCTGTTGAAAACCATTGCAGAAGTGTGTGCACGAACCCTCTTCTCATTTCTATCGAGTCATCTTACAGGAGTGTCTCTGTCATTTAAAGTTATTACACCAAAAGCACATAATTAGGCTAACCAACCACTATTTTGCTGGAGGGCCGTACTTCGAAGTCGCCAGGGGCTAGCTTTCTCGTATCTCCATTAAGTTTAGCCCATACCTGTCTGTTTGCGTTATGGCTGTCGACCATCGCCCGGCGCAGGTCGTCCTCCAGTCCGGAGATGGCCTCCAGTAGGCTGGACAGCGCCTTCTTGTTTCCGTACATCGCCGCTACGTGTAGCACACTGCCCGGTTGAGGGGTGCGGTTATACAGAGGTCGGCCGTTCGAATCTAGGCGGGGGATATTTGATATTTCTAAAGCAGGGTGCGGAGAGTTACAGAGGAATAATGAAGAGATATGGTTATACAAAAGTAGGCGGTTCGAATCCAGGCAGCAGATATTTCTAAATCGAAGGTGCTATCTTGTGAATGGCAGGTAGCTCGGTGATCTAATCCTGGACTTCTTAGTTCTTAACGCATTTAATTCCGTTCGTTCCAATCTTGAGATGGTCAGCAGTTAATTCATTACGTTATCCATCAATTTATTCCAGTGTTCGTGTTCTCATTTATCAATGAGATTCACTCATTCATTCATCCATGAGATTCAGTTCATTCATTCATTCATATGGATGCCAAAGAGAAGTAGCAAATTTATGTGACGCCGTGAACGCATTTACGCTTTACTGTTCAATACTGCGGGCTTACTGCTATCAGCGAATATCTCAATGTTCGAGCGGTCAGACCCGATTCATAATATGTACGCTCGGACACTCACTCATCCCCGTCGTAGTTTTCCATTGTGACCATACATCGACACTGCTCTATGTGGATTTTAACGCTTAAAGGAAACAGTTCACTTTCCTGAAATTAGTATTTTGCTATTGATTTATGATTGTTTATGCTCAAAATGATCATGAAATAAAATAAAACCTTTTTGTAAAAACAATTATTTTCTATATTTTAATATAGGACGAACTATATTCTATGTAAAATAATGTTTGACGCGGAAGCTTATTGCGCGTTGACCAATCATATCGCGTAGTTCAAACCTACGCATACTGCATTGGCTGTAAGCAGCATGCTGATTGGCTGACGATGACGTGGCTGCATTCCTGTGCAAGGCACGCATTCCTCTGCAAGGCACTCTTTTCGGAACGAGAAATGGAATATCTTCGTCTAGGGTGATCGTTGAGCCTTAAAAGCTCCTGATTTGTGCTAGTCTCAGCCCAAGCTACGAAACTGCTATTCCAGTTCAAAACTCCATGTTAAAAGTGAACTATTTCCTTTAAGGGCCGGGCCCAATCAATAAACATATACGCTCGGACACTCACTTGTCTCCGTCGTAGTTTTCCATGCCAACGAGGCAGCGGAAGCGCTCCAGAAGGAAGTTCTCGTCTCCGGTGGCAGCAAATAGGTACAGACTGTCGGCGTTTCCGTAGGCCAGCTGGAAAAGCACGCCACAATTACGTCAATGACGTCATACACGTCAACCACATCACAAATACACCAACCATTTGTCAGTGATGTTCAAAATACAACTCAGGTGTTTTATAAACGTAAGTGACGTCATGATAAACATCACGCTAATGATGTTTGCAGTAACGTCATCCACGTGACGTCACGTACAACATCTACCATTCGTCATGGCTTCTCTGTTCCTCAGCGTTCCTAGTTCCTCCTTTCCTTATGGTTCATCCGTTCCCTATCATTTCCCGTTCCTCCGCCCCATCATGGTTGCTTTGCTCCCCGATTTCCCCCATTCTGTAGTTACTCCTTAACCTCATTCCTCCACTACTCCTCTACTCACCGTTCCCCGTTCCTCCTCGGGTGCCCAGTTCCTCACCTGAACCTCAGGACGGCTAGTGTCGGCAGCTCTCGGTGGCTTCTTTCCTTTCTCTCCGTCCTTTCCTCCCGGAGATCCTCCGCCGCCGCCGCCGCCGCCGCCGCCGCCGCCGCCGCCGCCGCCGCCGCCGCTTCCCCTTCCCAGGTTCATCCTGGCTATGTCGGCCGCCAGCTGATCAGGTGTCTGACCCGCCGGAGCCGAGTCCGCCGCCGCCGCCGGGGCCGCCGGGGCGGGGGCGGGGGCGGCGGCGGTGCCGCCCGGGCCGCCCAGGCCGCGTACCACGCCTCGCGGGGCGCGGTGTGTACGCACGGGCGGTGCCACGCCGTCGCCCTCTCGCGCCTCCGGCGGGAGGCTCTGCAGTATCAGCTGCATCTGCAGGGGAGCGAGATACAACGTCAGACAGCGGCGGCGCTACCGGCGGCCGGACGGCGCGGGTTCGATTCCAGCAGACGACCACTTCGCACAGATATTTCACGTTGTGTTCAAATCATCAGATGTAGCCTGGTGCTCAGCCATTCAAAGCGATCTAAATTGTACTAAATCTAATTATAACAACAATATATGAAAGAAATATCGTCTTTGCCAACTTATAACAGTGCATCAATATCATCGCTGATGAGGGCACCCTGAGGCTATTTAGAATATTTGCTTTTGTATTGTGATCGAATGTGAATCAGCACAATGTTGTCTGGCACGCTAAAAATACAGTCAGCCACCGAGAGGACAGACGCCAGTTTCCACCAGTAGTGGCGGCGCTGATGCGCTGGACGCCAGTTTCAATGGCTCACTCACCTCCTCGTCAGTCAGCTGTCTGGAAATGGACTCCTGAGGACAGAGGTCAGCAGAGGTCACACACAGGTCAGTAGAGGTCAGCAGAGGTCAACAGAGGTCACACACAGGTCAGTAGAGGTCAGCAGAGGTCAACAGAGGTCACACACAGGTCAGTAGAGGTCAGCAGAGGTCACATACAGGTCAGCAGAGGTCACACGCAGGTCAGCAGAGGTCACAGACAGGTCAGCACAAGTCTACAGAAGTCAGCAGAGGTCAGTAGAGGTCAACAGAGGTCACATACAGGTCAGCAGAGGTCACATATAGGTCAACCGAGGTCAGTAGAGGTCTTACACAGGTTAGCAGATTCAGTAGAGGTCAACAGAGGTCACATACAGGTCAAAAGAGGCCACAAACAGAAACAGGTCAACAGAGGTCAGCAGAGGTCAGTAAAGGTCAACAGAGGTCATATACAGGTCAGAACGGGTCAGTAGAGGTCGGCAAATGACATGACCGGGGACAGAGACGAGCAAAAGAACAACTCGAGTGACCGCCCCGGTGACAATTCGCGACTGAGGGAACGGAACCTTTGACTGAGGGGGCTCAACCCGTGACTGAAGAAGGAGGGGGGGGGGGGGCGGCACAGCTGGCGGGTCCGGGTACTGACCTGCTGATCCCCGAGGCCCATGACTGCATTCATATCCTGTGCAACAAACAGCAATCAGAAACGCGCTAACATAAACAAAGGCCAATGAGCAGCCAACACAGGCTAACAACGACCAATCAGCAACGAGTAAAAAGCGCTAACAACCAATCAGGTAGGGCTTAACAGAATATGAACAAGCATATCAGTGCATACACCGTCTATCATGCCACTGCCAAAACGAACTTTTTTTTCTGACTCGAAAATAAGAATAACGTTTTCAAATTAAATCAATACAATTACAGGCCATTTAGGAATGCATTTACGTTTTTCGTTTTCGCGCTTTCTTTAACACGAAATTGTTTTTCCCTTTCCTATAATAGGCAAAATTGTAAACATTATTGACAGTATTTTCACGCATAGCTTTGAGCTTGGAACTTTACTCGGCTGGGTAGCGACCGCGGAGCTTTAGTCAGCGTACGTCGACTTAATGTCAAATGTGCCACCAAATGTGTACCTATTAACTCGCGCCCTGCTGGGGGGGGGGGGGTGTTTGAACACCCCCCCTTGTGGTTTTTTGCGAATATCTCAAAAACGTTTTTGGTCACACAAAAACGGTTTGGTCACGTTTTTGGTACACCTTATCATACATCAATTCTACACATGTTGTGAAAATTTCAGACCAAGGTCATTCAAGGTCAGGTCAACAGGTCACTTGAAGTGACCTCACCTCATAAAAACTTTCAATGTCTGTCATAGCTACACCGAGTGACCGATCGCTTTGAAACTTTCAGCGATTGCTGAGAGCAATAGCATGTACAAAATGTTTATCTCAGAATTTTGATATCGATGACCTAAGGTCAGGTCAATTTTGCGACCTCCCCATTATAAGTCAATGGGAGAAAATTGAAATGCGCCTCTTTTGGATGAAAGACATTATAAACACTCCCAAACACCGAATTACAAGTGGTTTAGACACACTGAACTTGAAAATGGTGTCCGTGACCCTTGTTTATGCCCTGAGGTCATCTTAGGTCACGAATGGTATCTAACAGTTTTTCGCAAATAACTTTTGATAGAGGCATGCTAGAGCGATGAAAACGCCTTAGATGTGTTCAGCTCGACGATACGGATCGACTGATATGCAACATGACCCTTTCCGGTCAGGTCATGACCTTGACCTGAGGTCAAATTTTCAAGTTGACCTTTCAAGGTCAAGTCATAGTTCATTCGATGCGTCTTGACGAGAGGAACACGATGCCGGTAAAAGTAAGCTCGTACAAGGCTTGGGTCAAAAGTTATTGCAGAAAAACTGTTTTCGAAAAAATCGGCTATTTTTGCAGTTTTTGCCCCCTGTAGGCAAAACCGTTGACGTTAGGTCAAATCTGAGACAATTACTCAGAAAGGGCGTTAATAGGGCTATCGAATGCGCTTTTCCGCGGCGCTGTAGCTCTATTGGTTCCCGAGTTATGCGTTGGCTTCTTGGAAATTTTCGACATTCGACCTGGAAATCGGCGAAATTTTGCCTTCAATGACCTCTGGTGACCTGACCTTTGACCTGACCAAAAAATTGACCGAAGTGATTTCGTCATTATTTTTGACGCTCTTTCGAACGCCGCCTTCCGCGTATCGCTACGTGGCCCAGGAGCCGAGTTACAAGGGGGGGGGGTGTTCAAACACCCCCCCCCCCCCAGCAGGGCGTGGAAATCCAGGACCCCCAGCGGGGCGCGGGTTAAACAAGAGATGCGAGCGTTGGTGCCCACTCTGAGCAATGAGCATTTCAAATAGCTACAGGTGGTACGGAGATCGAAATGTTTTAAAATAAATGACAAAAATGATATCAATAGAACGTGCAAATTAGAGCCGGAGCATGGGTGAAGCAGAAAACAAATTACAACTGCAGCCGAGTCACAACTGACAACTCCGACCGAGCCACAACTGCCAACTGCGACCGAGTGACAGCTGCCAACTGGTTGACACTAGATGACACTATAAGTTGACATCCGTATTGAACAAGGCATGCCACGAACAGACAGCTAACCGGTCAGTCGTAGACCTGTGAGAATTGTGCAGTACTGGGGGTGCTCGGGCGCAGCAAATCCGCCGCCGCCCCAGCGGTGACCTTGACCTCCGCCGTCTGGTGCGGCTCCAAAGCCAAGCCGGCGTGGAATTGGGAGAGCTCGAGCACCCCCAGCCCAGCACAATTATCTACCTATGGTCGTAAAACTTGAGTAGCCATAACGCTTCCATGCTGTCGATGCTTATCGCTAGTGAGAAAACAAACGCCAAATGGATCTTACAAAAGAGTTGGGCGAACTTGCACTTAGTGTTGGGCAAGCTTGTACTCGTTAGGTGGACCGTACTCACCATAGCACCGTAGAACTGATCCTGCTGACCGAATCCCATAGTATCGCTGGGCGTCGTCATCTGTGAATGACGACACTGGGCTTAGTCCAAATCAACACGCTGCACAGCAGCGACATCTATAAAATGTCAGCTTATCAAGCGATGGTGGCGACATCTATAATTATATAGAGCAAACGCCGATGGAAACATAACGTTCGGTTTAAAACCAAACTATAAAAAAAAAAAATGGAAGCTCTCCCTTGTAAGCCCTTTTGCAGCAAACATCATTGAGCTCCAGACCAAAACATAGAGGCATGTCTATGTAAATGTTGTAAGGTAAATAAACTACCATCGACTCATAAAAAACTTTCAAAATAGAAACATCAGTTTTCTTAACTTCAGCCCACATTCTTATTCTCCAAGGTCCGCCCAATTCCGCCCAGTCCGGTCCCACAAGACGTCCGGAGACGTCGGTCCGGTACGAGCAGGCAGGCTTCATGATCGAGTAAGCGGCTGGGTAGCCCGTCTCGCTCGGATAGTCCTTTCTAGTGGTGTCAATCGGATACCAACTTTTTGGCATACCGATACCAAAGCGATACCAACTTGGTAGTTGGTATTTCAAGGCGAGTGCATTTGGTATTTTATTGGTATTATGAATGCTCACTTATGTAAAAGAGGCATTTTCCTCATATTCCCAAGCCGGTTCGGTTTCGAAATTTTTCCATGGATATTGTTGTATTTGGCTTGGTATCGGTATCACAATCTTCCGTAATGGACATCACGAAGTCCCGTCCCATCGGGACCCTCCAGTCCCACTGGGGCAGTCCCATCCCAAAGAAAATGATCTCATCCACTCTGGGGCACCAGTCGGTAATCAGCCCAGTCTAAAGTGCCCCTTATTTTCCCGCCTTAGCCCTGAAATGGGCCCTCCATCCTCGAAAACTAGCCTTAACCCCACCAACGACGGTCTTAGTCCCATTTCCATCGCTTCCACCCCATCCCCCGACCACCTAGTTACACAGTGTTCTAAGGTTTAGATACCGACGGCGATGACTCTGGTATAGGGGTGGATAAATGTGCCGAGTTGGGGTAGCACGGGCGCGGCAAATCCGCCGCCGCCCTATAGCGGTGACCTTGACCTCCACCGTCTGTTGCGGCTCCAAAGCCAAGCCGGCGTGGCATTGGGAAAGCTCGTGCTACCCCCAACTCGGCACAAATATCCACCCCTGCTCTGGTACTGTGTGTCTTACTGCGTGAGTGTATTTCGTTCTTAGGTACAGGGTGTCTGTACAGTGTTCCATTACCACTCTGCGTGTAACACTCACGGCCGGGAAGCCGCTGCCGCCCTGCAGGATCTCATCCACAGTAGACGGCGCGGCGCTGGCAGCCAAGTTCGGGTCGCGAGGAGACATCATCTGCAGAGCGGGGGACGGGGGTTACGTGTGATGACTTTACTCCACCGTGCGCCGGACAGTACTGGTGGCCTGGACCCAGTTCATATAGAGCCCCTTTGGTAGCCAACAGGCTTTTCTGTATGGACTGGGCCAGGTTTGGAGTTTAACCAGCCGCCCCCCCCCCAAAAAAAAAACGGAAGGGAATTCTGTGTGGGTGGCCCCGTTTCTGTTTCCCTTCCTTTGGATCTCTGTGCTGCGTAATCGATGAAGAGAATGTGTACAAAGATGCAAATCACGTACCATGCACGCTGTTACGCATTACATATTAACAGTGCAATAAACATTCATCCCCAAACCTGCAAGGCGATCGCTGAAGTGAAATCACTCACTACCCCAATTTCCCTTGGTAGCCCGTTGGCGACTCCGCCTTCACCCACCTGATAGGGGTTATGCTGCGGACTGGCATAATGCGTATACGGCTGGTGGAGAGAAGACAAGACATCCGTCAAACGACAGTCATTTAAACACCAAACAAAGTCAGTCAAGCAACATCAGGGCAGGCAATATGTTAGACATAAGAAACTACATCAGTAGCCGCCGGGATTTTCTTCTAGACTATCTTGGAAGCTTCAATTGCTGGGCCACGAAATATGTATATGAAATTATTGAGTCTCTAGTCCCCATTGAATTAAGAAGAATAGGTAGGGAGAAGTCTAGTCAGCAGTCACTGGACAGGGAACTAGCCGCCACAGCAGTGATGCATGGTGAATCTATTGGCCCGCGAGTGCTGCCTGAGTACTCTGAGTTTATGGCCTGTGAGTTTATTGTCTGAGTGTTTTGTTTGTAGGAGTATTTTCTATGAATTTATTATCTCTGAGTGTATTGTCTGGGTGTATTGCCTGCGAGTAGTTATATTTTCTGAGTATTTTCTGCGTATACTGTCTGAACATACTGTCTGAGCATACAATGAGTATACTATCTGCTAGTGTACTATTGTCTGTCAGTGTGTTGTCTATGAGTGCCTTGTCTGTTAATGTATTGTCTGAGTGTATTGTTTGTGAGTTTGTCTCACCTGCTGCGGTGAGTTAACGGTCTCCCCTGCTGCGGTTCAGTTCAGTTCGTGTATTCACATTAAATCCGCTGGTAGGCGGCTTTTCATTAATGCAGTGAGTTAGCTGTCTCACCTGCCGCGGTGAGTTAACTGTCTCACCTGCTGCGGTGAGTTTACTATCTCACCTGCTGCGGTGATTTTATCTCACCTGCTGCGGTGAGTTTATTATCTCACCTGCTGCGGTGAGCTGGCCGCCGCCGACTCGGGGCTGTACGGAGAGGCCACAGAGTGGGGCGACGCGTGTGGATAGTACACCGAAGAGCCCTGGGACATCACAGACATCGGCTGCTGCAGTTGCTGCTGCGGCTGTGTCTGCGTCTGAGGCGGCTGCGGCTGCCGCTGTGTCTGCTGCTGCTGACGCTGCATCTGCAACTGCTGCTGCTGCTGCTGCTGCTGCTGCAGCTGCTGTTGCTGCAGCTGCTGGTGTGGCGGCTGTGGCGGCTGCCGCAGCTGCTGCATGAACTCGCCCTGTCCACCGCCCAGCATTGCCATGAGGGCGTCCGTCGGAGGCACCTCGAACGGAGTGCGTCCTGGGAACGCGGCCCCACCGGTCACGGAGGGTCACACAGACACGTCACTGTAGGTCACCGAGGTCGTAAGACCTCGTAAGACCGTCCCAATGCACAAAAAAGGTCTGAAGAGGTAACGTGTTATCTTAGATTCTAAATTTAAGAAATTTCCATAAAAAATGTTCTTTAAAGAACGCTGACCGTTTCTCCTGTCAAGCACCGCCTCAGCATGGGTTTCGGAAAATATTCACCCCTGGCGGGTTTCGAACCCACGCCTGTACGATTTCCAGTTCTATTCAGTTGTAAGCACGGTGTGCTGGTTACCACAGTAACGAGACGAGATCAATACGGGAGGAGGACACGCCAGAATAACAGGCACGCTCTCCGAGAACGGCAGACCGAGAAATAACGGATTTCATTATATGACAATGGATACATCAGTCACCGACCCGTGGGATACATTAGCGACAACCGGACTCGAGACGAGAAAAAGGACGTGGTTGACGATGGATTTGTGCATCGGAATATCTTTGACAAGGGCTGTGTGCCGTAAAATACGTTACACACAAAAAATAATTTCTTTAAAAAGCCATTATTAAATACGGCGGGAAAACATATTAAATTATCTTAAAAAGTTTTTGAATATGACGCATAATGCGGAATGAAAAATGAAAGAGTTTTTGAAAAAATAACTATTATGGGAGTAAACCCAGGTCTGTGTGATGCCAACAAAAATAACAAAATCACGTTTTAGCAACCAATCACGAAGATAGACATCTACCCAATTACGTTTCCCAATTTGTGATGTGGTATGTTATTAGTTAATGCCACATTCACAAATCTATAACCGTGGAATTTTTCCTATGAAATGATCAGGACATGAGAAAACAACGCATCCTCATAAAACTCGCACAAGTATAATGCAAGTTTCGCAAGATGCAGTCAGTAAGCAAGATTTACATCGAATATCACTGGGAGGGTTTCGCACTTACTTGTGTGTAGGTAGGCGCACAACCAAATTCGAACACCTCCAAACAGTGCAAACTTACCTCTATATCGCCGTCTTCATCGAAGCGACCGGCGCTGCCGCCTCCTCCCCAGTGACGTCACCGGTCGGTTGTGATGACGTCATCAGTGTGTGTGCATGACGTCACCCACGGCGGTGAGCGTTACCGACACGGCGCAGTGATGAGTGACCTTAAGCGTACAGCGCCCCCATCCCGCCAACCTCGGGTGAATTAACTGACCCCGAGCACGCCCGAAAATTTCCCAAACAAAAATCCCTTTGGAGCATGGATCGTTAAATTTCTTGATCAATTTTTGAGTTATGAAAAAAAAGCTGAATCTGTTATTGTTTTTCAGCTGAATAAAACCGATCGCGAAATCAAACTGCTCGCTATCGCATTATCGTAAAAACCAAAAGCTCAAAATCGCTCAATATTCCCGGACACCAAAACTCCATTTTATCACTCCTATAACTCTGTTGGCCGAGTGAGCACCCGTTTATGTTTTCCAGAGGTCTGGGGTGCGCTATATTGGGTCAGCTTTGTCTCATCACTGCGCCTGGGAGGAGGGGCCGGGAAGACCTGGCTGGTACGATCGGACCGCGTGACGCTGCCCTGCTGCCACATGCTCTATGGTCTGTGATCTATGGTCTCTTTGGTCTATGGTCCCTGTGGTCTATAGTCTTTATGGTCCATACATAGGTACTCTATGGTATGCGTCTGCCTGCTTTCATACATGCCTATCCGCTAGATGCCTATCACAATGCACATGCCTATCACAATGCTGAACATTGCACTGCAGGAAGTACCCAGCCACGAACTGCTTCGGCTGTTTTTCAATAGAAAAACACAATTCTAACGAAAAGTGTAGGTCATTTTTTATATAACCTGCGGTTACATTCGCTCATTCATTCATTCATTCATTCATTCATTCATTCATTCATTCATTCATTCATTCAATCATTTATTCATTCATTCTTAAATGGAAAATCAAGTCATTCGCTCATTCACTAATTCATTCGTTTGGATCATTTTTTTTCTCGTTAAATAATGCACATTTTGGTTTACGTATTCATATATGCAGCCAAACGATCACTTGTAAAACTTCACTATTCACTTAAACAACAACTGACAACAGACAATGCTGAAAATCAGAAGCGTACCAACTTACTCTGTGCCAAGTGTTGAGAATGACCTTTGGCGGCAAGGGTCGAATGGAATACATAACCTGTCCAATGTTCAGTAAAATGTTCGCCTGTTCAATTTCTATGCAATAAAAAACGAGAAAATAGTTTAATTCTAGTTTACGTGGCAATGCATCCGCATCTTCAGTCATTTGAAGATAAAATACCCGATTCGACAAAAGCGCAGTTGATTGGAAATGTCATTGACAACTTAATTAACAAACATTTTGAACTAAATCAGCTGAATGAGTTCACATGCTTAACTTTCGCGGGCCACCGATGGGGGGGGGGGGGGTCGCTTCCCCCTGAGTTTTAGAGGTGGAGACAAATTACGAGCATGGTTGTATACCATATAACCTAGAATAAAATGTAAAGACTACTTTGGTGACCTGAGGTCAGAGCTCAGGGCAATATTCCGAACTAAGGTTTAATTTTTTTTTTTTGCAAATAACTTTACCATCAATGGTCGTAGAGCTAAGATAGTGGTCCAAGCGCATCTGTCTTCTCAGTATGCGTCGAATAACATAGGACACTTTGTTTGGAAAAAGGTTAGCTTCTATGTTGACCTCATGTGACCTCTAGTGACCTTTGGTTGGCCTTGACACATAAGTGGTCTTAGTTGATGTATTCGTAACCGCTGATCAAGAACCTGTCATCAGTGTTACTCAAAATTTTCATTTGAAGCCCCAGCGTAATAAAATAGGCGAAGCATAATGGCTGACATGAATCCGTGAAATAGCCTCTAGGAAGGATACCGTTGCATGACCCTGACCTTGGGTCAGCCATACCTCTTTCTTTAAACCACAAATGGTGCCGGATAAGCTTGAAAATATTTCACAACATTTTAGAACTCGGTACACAGGATATCAGAAAAAGTGGTTACTTTAACCCTTGCCCCGCTGGGGGGGGGGGGCAATTTGGCCCCCCTGTGGTTTTTCCTGAATAGGAAATTTTCAGAACCTTCTTGGGCATCAATTTGACACCTTCACACAAAAGTCTTAGGTCACCTTAGGTCAGGAGTTATTGAGGTTAAACTGAGGTCATGTTCGAGCAAAAATGAGCAACAAACATGAAATCTTGAAACACTCACAAAAGCTACAGTTACCAAGCAATTTCAAAGTTCGTTATATGGTCATGTAGACAAAAGACAGCGCTACAAAACTGCTATCTCGGATGTTCAAAATCTTGGGATTTTGACCCCCAAAATTAAAATAATGATTTTTAGAAAAACGTAAAAAAAATCCCAAAACTATTCCGAATTTCGAAAAAAACGGAATATATGTGATAGTGTCTGCGCTCTTCTACCTATACACATACCAAATTTTTGATCAAAGCCTCCTTTTTTGGCCAAGTTATAGCGAAAAACTGTTCAAAACGGATGACGTCATACTTTTTACTCAATTTTAGACCACGTAGCGGAAAACGAAAACCACCATTGAAATCCCCGTGACGAGCTGCATTGAATCGATACCCATTTTATGCAAAATATCAACTTTGAACTTTGACCTAATTTGACCTGACCTTCACCGCAATACAATCTAAACTGACCCCAAAGGCTGCCTTGTGTCCCTCAGTGACGTCAGCTTTTCTCCCAAAAGTGGTTCCGCCAATACAGCGATTTGGACATCATGGTATTTCTAATTTTCAAGCAAGTCGAATGACATGCTTTTTGTTTAACTGAGGTCAAGGTCAGGTGAAAGCCCCTCAGACAACGCATTAAGTAGAGGATCATGCCACATATAGGGGAGAGTGGGGCAAAGTGGCCACCCTAACGTTTCTAACGATGCCGACGCTTGATTTTTCAACTTGGAAAGATTCTTTCTAAACCAATGTGATCCCTATTAAATTGTCTTTTATTCCAACTGCGTTTCATTTCCAAAGGCGTTCACATATGGGAGATATTGACAAAACTTTAAACCTATAGCATATTGGCCACTTTGCCCCATCCCTGAGGCAAAGCGGCCACTGGCGACTTCTCAAGTCCCGATATGAGAAACAGAATAGTGCCTCATGCACGACTAGGGTATTTGATGGTGACAAGGTTTAAGGGAAGATGGATGTTTACTTTGTTATCTTCCCACCTATTGCTAAACAAAGAAAGAATTTTCTTGGAAAAACATTTAATTGCATAATTTGGTAACTCATGTAACCGAAAAGTGGCCAAGATGAATGCATGACGACACATTTGAATATAAATAATGTTTTTATCCAGATGGAAACAACTTATGGCCAATTGGGGGCTGGCCACTTTGCCCCGGCCGCTTTGCCCCGCGCTACCGTCCGAGACAAAAATATTCCAGCTCAGCTATTAGTGGGGTAAAAAGCATTAAAATTGGTAGAAGGCATGTACGATAACCACGCAATGCATGGACAAAAACGCTTATAAAAATTACAAACGGTTATGGAATAAAATAACATTTAAAAATTGTAAACATAATTGGTAACCTGGCAAGAAATGCTTTTCCGTGTTTCACAGAACAATGGCGATGGGCCTGAAACCCCGGTCTGGCTCATTCGAACGACCGCAAAGAGAAGTATAATTGGAAATCATAAATTGGAACTGACGCCAGCTGTGGAGGGCTAAAACGATGGATGGCCGCTTTGCCCCGGGTGGCCGCTTTGCCCCACTCTCCCCTACCTCGATTTGGCAGGCCTGCGCGAGTGCATCGAAGCTCAATTCGATCTGCAGCTACTGACGGAAACTGAAATGACCTAAGTGACGTCATGCATGGCGCCACGCAAGGTACCTACGAAATGCAACAGTTAACCCGCGCCCTGATGGGGGGGGGCATTTTGGCCCCCCCTGTGGTTTTTCTTAAATAGCGAGAAAACG